GTTGTAAGGCTGACTGTACCCAGACAGCGTACATAATGAGGCGTGTTGGAATAAAAAAAAAACTTCTCATTGGTCAGTTAGTCATAAAAAAGACATGCATTGAGCTGACTAACGCAAGAAGAACAGCAAGAAGTACATACATCTTAGTTCCCACTGGTGCAGGACTCGTGAGCAGTACGGTAGTGAAGGCCACAAGCACTGGCATGTAAACTATCCGCTGGTGATTCATATCAGCTGTGGAGGAAATTAACTCAGTGGGGCCAGTCCGCGAATCATTATCCTCAAGGGTTGACGATGTGGAGGGAGGGCCGGAAATTGCTGCCGTGTTGGGGGCCACATTTCCCTGAGACTCAACAGTGTCCGTAATTCACTTAGCGAGAAATTTCTCCTGGAGAGTGTTAGGTATAATATTTTGGTTAACATTAAATATATCTTATACAGAGATTACAGGTATACTGAGGAGCCGCCTGTAGTATATAGTAAAGTAATTAAATAGTTTACCTCTCTGAGTTTATCGATATCCTTTTACCAGCCATTTACTTATGGCTTATCCCTTATATTCGTCTCAAGTGGAACCATTAGTGTGATCAATGTATATGTTAAGGAGATAATCATACCCATCGTAACCTCAAACCTAGAATCTTAGAAATAGTTTGGTTAGGTATACAGTTCGCGGTGTTCATGTTGAAATTCATCGACACCCTCCGTAAAGATGCGTTTTGGGGCAAGTGAACAATACAAGTCGTCGTGGATAGAAGAAAATATTGTCTCCTACGTAACAAATATTGACCTAAACTTCATATTATGCTGATGAAAGCTGTTTATTACCACCGTTGCTCACGCTCCACAGCCACTAATCACAAGACACATCAAGCCTTAACGACTGAACCTCATGTCATTTATAGCACAATGAAGACCAGTGCATGATCATTCCTTCTCCCCAAAAGATTCACAGATTAGTTTGAGACAATGTGAAAGACTCAGCCGCTGTTTTCTCGGCTTTGTTGGGAAGTTCAGTCATTCCGGAAACAAAGAAGGTTATGACAACACAGAGAGTAATGACAGCACAGAGAGTAATGACAGCACAGAAAGTAATGACAACACAGAAAGTATTGCTATAATCAACCATTCTTAAAAAGGGATTTACCTGTAATTACCTGGATCTCCTTTCGAATACCTTTTAAACTCTAAGGTACGGTAATACTTCACACTACCCAACCTGTCCTTAAAATCTTATGCTGAAGTAACACAGTAAAGGAAATATTAAGCGCTCCATCATCATTTTCACTATCTTCACTATCCTCACTATTAACAATGCAATATACCTCTGTGTTATAAATGGTAGGTTCAGATGTTCAGTTTGACGGGGATGATAAAGGTCACTAAGAATGACCCGTAGTGTTGAGGTAGAGAAAATATAGAATCATATGGAACATAGAATACATTTATTAGGACGAGCCGTTGGTGTGTGTGTGTGTGTGTGTGTGTGTGTGTGTGTGTGTGTGTGTGTGTTGTACCAGGTGGGGTTAGTGATATACAGTATGTTGCACGTGTGGTCTTTCAGCACTTGTGGCCAGGGAGTCATGAGATTACATGATATTTGTACTTTTTCGTATTAGTATTTTATATATTAGTGTATATAATATGTATATAAGTAAGTTTATTATTATTAGAAGTAGTAGTAGTAAAATTATTTGTAATACTAAAAATTCCTTATCACCATTACTATTACATCACAAAACACTGAAAAATACCACCAATATAAACTAACATCATTAATAATTCTGTAACAAACCAACATAAATATATAAGAATATCCTCCCCTCGTGTTCAGTTCCCCTATAGAGCGGGCGGGAGTGTGGTGGTCCTCAGCGTGGGAGCAGCCCAGACGCGGGTTTCATTCACGGCTCATTTCCTGGACATTGTAGGAGTGACACTTACCTCATTGGTGATCAGTGTGATGCTTGCGGAGGCTGAGGGAGTGTGAGGAGGGAGGTGATGGTGGTGATGGTGAAGTGTGAGAGTAGAATGGTGGGGTGTGAAAGTGTGAAAGGAGGAGGGCGGCGTGTGAGAGTAAGAGGGCCGGGTGTGAAAGTAGGTAAGTAGAGGTGTGAGACGAGGGGAGGGGAAAGGAGGAGAGATGTGACAAGTGATGTAAATGGGCATGAGTGAAAGGTAGGAGTGAGAGTAAAGGTTTGGTGTGAAAGTGTCGGGGATGTGAGAAAGGTGTGGTAGTGAGTAATAGAGTGTAAGACATTGATAGAATAAATATATACGAAGTAAACTTTGTGTGTGTGTGTGTGTGTGTGTGTGTGTGTGTGTGTGTGTGTGTGCGTGTGTGTAAAATTGTTGTTGTTGAAAGAGTAAATGAAAGATGAGACTAAAGACGACTCAGAGAGAATTGTTATTAATAATTGAATATAATTCCTACCTTAATAAGACTCCTTAATGAGGCGTTCTCGGTGCTGGGATAAATTTAATGATATAACGCGGTGGAGTAATGCGAGTTACCCAATAATCAATAAGCTAAAAGGAATGAATATCTGTTCTGATCTTCCACCCCCGAGCAGAAGCCAGACACAACGTCTTCGCTGGGTTGGACTCCCGCCTGTACAGTACGTCATCTACTGCAGCACGATAGTAGTGGAGGTTAAACATACAAACACACACACGTGCAGGGAGGGAGGGAAGGAGCGGCGGCGTTAGTAGCTACGGCTGATAACGCGCTCATCCTTATATTACACGCTGGGTTACTGAACAAGTAGCTGAACATAACTCCTCACTTACCATTATCAGTTTATCCTATGAGAGAGAGAGAGAGAGAGAGAGAGAGAGAGAGAGAGAGAGAGAGTCCTTTGTGATTAACTTATATAAATAGTGAGAATTTAATTCACTCTAGATATGCATTTTTTTATTCACTGATATATAATCCGTTTTGCCAGTCTTTTAATTAAATTATTTTCTGCTCTACCGAATAATTTTCTTTTATGTTAACAAATTATTTTCATCGATACTTCTCAATTTCCATTAACGTTAACTAATGATATACGTAATATAAGCCTTATTTAGACGTATATTAGAGGATATATCCTTAAAAAAAAATCCGGGTTCTCCGCACTCGAACGCTTTATGCAATGATGTCACATGTAAACAAACCCTCCTGTTACATTGTGGGAGTAATTGGGAGTGAGGCGCCACCGATTACCTCCCTGTATCAACAAACTGAGTTTTTGGGGCCCAGGATCAGATCGTCATAGTGAGGTAAATTCCCAATATAGCAATATACTCGAGGGAAAAACCAGAGGAATAAATGAAACCTAATGAACTAAAGCTGTCACACGCACACACACATACGTACACGTACACACACACACACACATCGATAAAACTACCTTCGTTAAATATGATTAATAGACATCAAGACAACTTAAAAGAAATCTAAAGACAGAGAGAGCGTTACCTACATTATTACCGTCACTATCACCAGTCACCATCCTCCTCTTAGCACTATCATCATCACCATTACCACCATTCCTCACCATCCTCCTAAACCCCTTCACCATTATCATCATCCACTTAACACTAACACCACCACCATCATCATCATCATCACCAACCACCAACACCATCACCATTACTACCATTCCTCACCATCCTCCTAAACCCCCGCCATCACCATCATCACTAAACATCATCATCATCAACACCACCATTACCAGCCCTCCTCACCATCCCCCCATTATCACCATCACCAGCCGTCATCGAGAGCCCGGGCCTGACCATCATCACCAGGCCAGGCGGGTCGGGCGGTGTTTCAGTTGTGGACATCTGGAGAAGAAAAATTGACCTGGTCTCACATTGTTTACCTTGGTCTTTGGTGACGATAGAGGCATCCCGGCTTGTGTGTGTGGGGGGGGTTCTCTCTCTCTCTCTCTCTCTCTCTCTCTCTCTCTCTCTCTCTCTCTCTTTTAATTCCTTTTCCATCATCTCTTTCTCGAACTGAAGCTCCTTCCTCACTTCCCCCCCCCTTCCCCTCCCCCACATCCTTCTCCACCTCCCTAATCTCCTCCATTTCCTCCCCAACTCCTCCGCGTTCCTTTCACCCCAGGAACTCCCCAGGACCTCCTCTCCTCCCCCAGTAGCCGGCGGGGCTCTGGTGTCGGAGTCCGGTGGCTCTTGTGAAGTTACGGCCGAGTTAAAAACCTTCATTTGTTCATTACGCTAATGTTCACCACGATCATGTTCACTACTGCTGTCATTTTCATCGTCAGTGTGTGTGTGTGTGTGTGTGTGTGTGTGTGTGTTAACGTATGTAGGAATGTGTTTCTTGAAGTTATCTCACAGTACAAAACGTTCATATTTGTGTACGTAAATGATCCCTAAATGAATAATATAGACAGATAGATAGATAGATAGATAGTACAACAACAGAAAATAGTGAATAAATATAAATACAAGTCACCATACAAGACCCGGGACCTTATCTTATAGTGTTTGAAATATGACACAGTTAGTATGGTCGAGTCCCCCCTTCCACCACCACCACCTGATCGTCACCAACTCATCTTACATCTGATGGGTTAACCTGATGGTGAGGGAACAAACACGAGGGTAATGGTGGTCTCTGGCTGTGGTTAAGTCGATGCTTTTTTGTTTTTGTTTTTATCCTCGTGGTGAGAAGAGATGGATATAGGTTTTGATAAGATTTAACAACAACAACAAGAATAACATCATAAACAACAAAAACAACAACAAGAACACTAATAACAACAACAACAACAACAAAAACAACAACAACAACACTAATAACAACAACAAGAATAACATCATCAAAAACAACAACAACAACAACAACAACAACAAAATAATAATAATAATAATAATAATAATAACAGGTTTACATCCAAGAACAAGGCATTTATATAATTAACTTTTTTATTGCTATGTATGTGATATAAATGCAGTGGATTATATTAAAACAAAAGTATTTTATTTTCCAGGTTACTCACCTCTTCCCTCTGTACCGAATACTGGGAAGAGGTGACGGGAATAATAGGCTAAACATACAGACACAGAATGGGAGGGAAATAGGAGGAAAAATTGAAGGTAAGTCACATTATTATTACCTTGATATAATTGTTTGAGGGGAGGTATAAGTTAATATGACCTGACCTGATCTGACCTGACCTGACCTAGGACCCATGAAAACTGAGACTGCGGTCTATTAGATCTGGAACCTATTTGAATTTGGGTCTATTTGAATTGGGACCTATTATAGAGCTCTGAACTTATTAGAAATGGGACCTATTAGAACTTAGGTGTATTAGAATTGGGGTCTATTATAACTCGGGTCTATTATAACTGAGGACTCTTAGAACTGGGGCCTATAATGACTTTCGACCTTAAATATTCCTATGTATTCTCTTTATCTACCACACTGGCGGACGATTTAATTAGCCAATGATTTCACTATAACGAATGACGTCACAGTAACTACATCGTTGGTATTATGTGCGTGTGGTGAGGTGAGGATGGGAGGAAGTCTCTCTCTCTCTCACACACTTCCAACTGCAGTAGGCCTAGAGGTCACGTGAGAGCCATCAGCTGGTGTTTACCCTTCTCTTGACGATTGGTATACGACCCTTGACTACTACCTGCCCCCCGTTACCGCCTCCCGTGACCCCCCTCCGAGACCATCCTTCAACCCTCAAACCTGTAATACCCTACTAAAATATCCTACGAGGAATCGTGTTATAAAATCCTAATAAACCGATTTTCAAATTCCGCTAAATATATTACAAGTCCTTTGACAATCCTATTTAAAATCTACGGAAATCCTACTACTAATACTCCTATTATAAGATCCTGACCAAAATCCTACTTAGAAATTCAGCTAAAAATTCTAAAATAGAAAAAAATCGTGAAAGGAAAATTATTCAGAATAAAATACACACTATGGACTAAGTAACTTTTATTGATATGAATGCATAATATTCAGATGTATATAATATGTATAAGTGAAGGATACTATATATACTGTTTACTTTAAGCTGTCTAAATACACACGTTAATCAGAATCTAATATCCTGCAGACACCTGATTCAAGGAGCAGGTTGAGTAAGGAGGAATACTTGAAGGTGGAAAGTCTTGCGTCTTTAACTTACTTGTGTGTAGTCAACGTCTGGGAAAATCAAAGTCAATGAATATCTTGTTTAAAACCCTCGCCAGGATCACCGCCACTGACAGTAACAGTGTGAAGAACAGCAGTTATAATACCAACAGTAGCAGGAGATGGCAGCAGTAGCAACAAAAAACAGACGAGGCAGCAGCTGTAACAGAAACAGGTACTACACGAGGCTAAACAGTAACAGCACGGACAGGCAACAGAAGGAACCCACCTTAAAGGACCACCCCCCCTCCCCAAGCGTTAATAAGGCCGAGGGGCGTAAAAGTCGTCACTAATTGACAGACGAGTCTCAGGTTGGCCCACGGTAATTGTGTCATCCCCGAGACACACATGTTATGGCCCCATAGCCTCCTAGTTTATTTGGCGCCACAGCATGTACGTCACACTAACACGAAATCATATTTTTTTTTTTTTTTAAAGGGAGACTCGATAAAAACGTCGACAATGAGGACAGTGTCGTGTTTGAATGATGGTTGAAGGGGGACGGGAGTGTTAATTTTAGCTAGAGTGGCTAAGAGATAGATAAAAAAAATACAAGATGAGAGAAAGCATGTGGGTGAGGAGATCACTGAGGTTGATTACCTGACAAACTCCAGATGTTGGTGGGCCAGAGTGAGTCTTCCCGGCGGTGTTAATTTTTCTTTGTCCTCCCGCTGTCTCTGGTTGACTTTGTCCAGGATTACCCGAGATTTCCCTTGTCTAGAGTTTCGTCTGGTTTTATTAGTCCAAGATTAACAGAGATTTACCTTCCCTACAGTTGCTTTCATTTCTCTTCTCGTCTTCTGAGGACAAAAGTTACACTGGAAAATATATATATTTTTTTGTGTTTTGCTTATTATTTGTTCTCACTGCTGGCGGTACAGTATTTTACGTTCATCTGGAAACTATTTATCTTCTCTGCTCAGTATATATAATAGTCATCAACATGATTCTCTGCCGTAAGTGTCTCCTTGTCCATTAAGCTCTTCCAAACTTTCAAATTCTACCGTACCTCTCTGATTGCTGGTCGTCTTCAGCGTGTTTTAACAATACTGTACACTACCATTCTTCACTACTTCTTTCTAGTGTCAAGTCAGATTTAGAGGAGAAAGATTGAATGTCAGACTCCGGGATCATGTTTGTAATAATAATAATAATAATAATAATAATAATAATAATAATTAGCGGTTTATTGAAAAAATCGGCAGCCCAAAGGCTGAAAATATACATTAGACAAAAATGACTTATTACATACAAAGACATGGGGTGGGTGGGTCGTTTAACAAAGGCTTTCATTACTAAAAGAAGAAGGAACAATGATTGAACATACAAATTATTATAGTTTACAGTTGATGGCCCGGGCCTGGGCTGGTCATGGAGACACCAGGTGGTGAGGTGTTCACGTGGTGTAGTAACTCGTCCTCGGGTGTTGATATGAAGGACCTCACGTGGTCATGGAGACATCGGGTGGTGTGGAGTTCACGTGGTGTAGGTGTGTGTGTGTGTGTGTGAGTATGATGCCGGAACCTTAAGTGGTATTTTTTTACTACGATAATGTGACTATATTTGTGAAGTGTTAATGTCCTGGATGTTCAGACATTACTTATATGGCGGATAAAACTGTTAACGCTGTGTATACATAATTATAAACCATACTACTAATAAGGATCAAAATTCAAGGTTCATAGAAAATTTACATCTAATTAATATATTTTTATTTACGTATGTTGTTGATATTAAACAGTTAATCTTTTATAAATATTTACTTAAGAATAGATAAACCGCAACTGAGTGAACAACTGTTCTGCTGTGATGGTGTTCAGTGGAGGCCTCATCCCGTCGGACTGAATATAAAATGATGAGGTCAAGCTGGTAAGGGTAGAGGTCAGTGCCTTGAGGAGGTTAGTGTGAGTCAGCGGGTGGTCATGAGTGACAGCGTTCGCCAGCAGTGGACTGGAACGATCTACCGAAGGGGAAGAAAGGCTTAAAGATACGGTGTTTTAGGTTAAACGAATTGCTACACACTTACCTAGAGCTACAGCTACAAGGATCACTGCGTTGTAAAGAAGGTCCTGACAGCGAGTTTACTGCATTTCTAAAAACAAACTCTGTCTCGGAGCCTTATTTGAATTCCACCCGTAACGTCGCCCGCCTCCCAGAAGGTGTCTTAGCCCTGGTAATGAAGTGACAAACACAAGGTGTCATCCGTTCTTGCCCGGCCACAAAACTGGGCGGCCCCAGGTGCACGACCCACGCCACCGCCTCCTTGACAAAAAGTGAAAAGTGATATTCAAATGAGCAAGAAGATTGACCCGGCACGCCCAGTCAGCTTCCTCTGGTAAGTGCCAACTCTAGTTTATACTTCCACGGGAGTTTTTCATCGGAGTTTTGTTTTTGTAGGGAAAATTCAGGTGGTGTAGAAGGGTCAGAGAGCGAGTGTTTTTAAGGTGATGGTTGTTGTGTGAGCAGGATGCCGGGGTGGGGTAATGAGGCGAGTGAGGTTCATGGAGTCATTAGTTAATTAAAAGTGAAAGGTAGTCACAAATTATTATCATAAACGGTGAATTTTGAGAAAGACTTATGTTCGACGCTTAATAACCTTGGTAATTGTAGCACCTGAATCTTAAAACCACAACAACGACAATATTTTCTTCTTCGTTAATTATTCATTCTCCTTATTATTACTTATTAGATTATTCATTATTATTACTTATTAGATTATTCATTATTATCACATCATCGTTCCCCGTTCACTATAACCGGAAGTAAACGAACGCTGCTCCTCATGAATTAACTTTTTTTATCTGCGAAATTCATAGTTCCTACCTAGATAACACGTTCCTTAATGATGCATATATAAAACAATAATTTCTCCTCATTTGCATAATATAAACGTATAGACGGAGGCATAACACGAGAACATCCGTCGTTATTTTAACCTCAAGATAATGTTACACGTCTTAGCTTAGTAATGGTTAGCTCTTACTCCTTGATACTATAAGACGAATTTCCCTTGTGATGTAATTTTTAAATGGGGAAATCAACACAGGTAAAAGTTCTAATTAAGGTGTTGAGTTATATTCAAATACCTTGGTCTAGTTATGTATATTGCGATTTATATTCAGTAGGTTTCGTAATTCTGAATGACAACGTAATGTATTAATGACGCTATTGATAAACACAGATGACAAGGTTGTAATGATATCAAGTATTAGTGTCTGATAGATTATGTTATCAGGAAAAGTAAGCAACTAAGGATTTTTCCCCCGAATTATTATCAATACGTTCACCCAATTTCCCTTAGCTCGTGTGCCCCAGTCTTTTTGTACTTCACTGATGTGTGTGTGTGTGTGTGTGTGTGTGTGTGTGTGAATAAGTCCACACACACGCTCATTAGATCAGATTGATAGTCGTGTTAAAAGTCGATTGATCTCAGCGATATATTTGATTGATTTGTTACGGACCATGTACGTCAAGAGCGAGGTCAGTTTTTATGGTATCAGGTCAAAGGTTAAGGTCATACGACATCATTCTGAGAGGGAGAGACAACTTTTTCATTTGTTTAGAGTGAAGTGTGATAAGGGGTTATTAATGTCCAGTACGAGGTGTGGCTGTTGGGGTGATGGCTTGGCTTGAGGCACCTGTAGGCTTCAGGACATGTCAGGTAGTTTTCTTGTTTATGATTTATTGAGGCTTAGGTAAGTTACAAATGAGTTTTGTGGTAGATATTTATAATATTTTTCTTTTTGTGAGTTAATCTTTCTCCTTATCATTATTATCCCTTATTCTTACTTCATCGTTCCCTGTTCACTGATATTTCCCTTGGGAAATTTAGTCCATACGTTTAGAAGTTTAATTGTAGTTAATATTTGTAAAATGACATTAAATTGAAGTTGGAACAGTGTGTTGAGATGGTTACGTGTTACTTC